ATGCAGCGGCGCTGGAGGTGCACCTCGCGCACAGCCCGACTTCCGAGGCTCCAGCGCGCCATGGGGTGCTGGCGCAGCGAGCGGGGGACTTGCAGCACATCCGCAGCTTGCTGGAAGGTGCCGCGAAGGCGTCGCTGTCCGAGTTGATCACGGACCTTCGCGCGCTCCTCGCCAGGTCGAACAGCTCGAAACACAAATTCGACAAGGAGGGCAAGCATGACAAGCAGCATGCCGCCACCAAACGGGATGAGCCTGGTCGCCATGGGCATGCGGAGGGACCTGACCTGGTGATGCTGGGCGGGTCCGATTTACAGGAGCACGAGGATGCCTTCTTGCAGAAGAAGGGCCAGAATGTGAAGGCCGGCATGCGGGCCAAGGCTCAGCCTGTCTTGGAGGCTGGGTCCCAGAGGTTGTCTCGATCCCCCTTTCCGCCCTCACACAGCTAGTGCCGAGCGTGAGCCACGACGGCGTCCCTGTCCGCGAGTGCTACCCGAGCTTCTTCAACTACGGTGCGAAACCTTGGCAGTCGACGCAACAGCAGTTCCTGCACCAAGACTTGTAACCCCAGTGGCTTCGAGATTACGACATGGACGTGACGAACTACTATGAAACGCCGCTGGACGGCTCTAGCGCCGAGCTCCAGAAGCTCAACCAGAAGATCAACGCCATGACGGATCACTTCGAGGAGCTCGCAGTGTGCAAACTGGACAACCAGAAGGCCTCTCTTCTAAAGTAGCAGGAACAGCTCAACCAATTGAAGCAGAGGATAAAGGACACCAAGCTCCAGAAACTCGACGTGAGATTTAATCCCTGAAGGAGCAGCAGGAGCAGCTCAACGAGCTGAAGCAGAGGATGGACGAGAGCATCGAGCTCCGGAGGCTCGACCAGATGCCTGTATGCGCCGAGCTCCAGAAGCTCGACCAGAACACCGAAGCCCTGAAAGAGCACTTTGAGAAGATTAGGGTGCGCAAGCTGGACCTCGTGAAGGACTCTCTCCAGGCGCAGCAGCAGAAGCAGCAGAAGCAGCTGAACCAGCTGAGGCACAGGAAGGATGAGGATACCTAGCTGGAAAAGCTCGTTGACCACACAGCAGCATAATATGCGCGAGTTCGAAAATAAACTCAAGGACCTCGATTTGCTCATGCAGAACATCGTGAAGTCTCTGGTGGAGCTCACGGTAAAGGTCGAGGTGTTCACCAAAGGGCGAGACCTATGGTGGCCGAGTCCCTGCATTACCCCGCGTGGGGATAAGAAGGCCGCGTCGGGCCAACGGCCCGCGTCCTCCCATTCCTCCTCCGTGTTGGCAGCGTCGCCCTGGGGCACGTCGCTGGGCAGCCCCCGCTTATCGGGTGAGCCATGGCGGCAAGGCTGGTTTCCGCCCCTCCTCCGCCGCGCCGGGCGGGCCGCGCGAGGGCCGCGGTCGAGCGCCAGGAGTCGCATGGGACGGCAGCAAATCTCCTGGCTTCGACGGGGGTGTGGGGGGGGGTTGCCACTGGGCCACCTGCTCCCGCTTCGCGGGGTGTAGTTGCCAACTGCCCTGGTGGCTTCCCTCATTTTTCTCAGAAGTCGGGTGAAGGCTGGCAAATAAGTGGCTGCTTAAAAGGAGTTCTGGGAGATGTTTGCCTTTCTTCCGGGAAGCCGCCTGTTTATCACCTGGTGCGCTGAGGTCTATTCTGGGAATTTGTTTTGTTCTCTCTTCCAGGGGGACCGTTTTAGCAGCCACGGATCTGCCAGCCCTCGCCCAGCTTCCGACTCTCCCTGCCTTAGCCTTCTGCGCTGGGATGTGCCTACTCCTTCCGCAGGCTGCCGGGCTGGGAGCCCTCGGATGGGCATGCGCTGCTCCCGCGGCGCGACCGCGCCCTTGCCCTGCCGCGGTCCGCCCCGCGGGACCCCCCTCCTGCTCCCCCTCCTCCTCGGGCTCTTCCGGCTCCTCCTCCTCCTCTTCCTCCTCCTCCTCCTCCTCCTCCTCCTCCTCCTCCTCCTCCTCCTCCTCCTCCTCCTCCCCCTCCTCTTCCTCCTCCTCCTCCTCCTCCTCCTCCTTCTCCTCCTCCTCCTCCTCCTCCTCCCCCTTCGGGGCACGGGCAGGCCGAGGACCTCCGTGGAGCGGGAGGACAAGGAGGACAAGGAGGAGGAGGAGCAGGAGGAGGAGGAGGAGGAGGAGGAGGAGGACAAGGAGGAGGACCTCGCCCTTGCCCTGCCGCGGTCCGCCCCGCAGGCCGAGGACCCTCCGTGGAGCGGGCCGAGCGGGCCGCGGGAGGAGGCGACGCACATCCGTGGAGGCCGCGGAGGCGCGGACAGTGCCGGCGCTGGGATGTGGCTCTGAAGGCCCGACGCCAGGTTGCCTCGGTGCCGCTCGCGCGCGCTTCGCGTGCGCTCAAGTTCAACTAAAGGGAAATTCTAAAAGGGAAATTAGGACACACAAATAAATACACACAAATAAAAATAGTCTCCATAGTTTCTCATATTTTCTGGGTTTTTGTCTTCCCCCCCCAATTTCCCATAGTTTCCCATATTTTCCTGGGAGTCGAGGATTAATTGTGTCTGTGTGTTTTTTTCCCTCCTGAGATTCAACGAGCGAGTGCGGCCGCCAGATAGAAAAGGAGAACAATCGTGATCACTGTCAAGATCATGATCGTCACCATTCCGAGCTCCGCGGGCAAGCAGTGGAGCACCCTGGCGAGGCTCGCACGCAGGGGCAGCGGCGTGTGCAGCCCCTCGCGGGCGGCCAGCCGCGCCGCAGTCGGGCCCCCTCCCCGAAGGAGATTTCTCTGCACTGCCGCCGGGTGCGGCCGCTGGGGGCAGGCGCTGGTCGCGGGGGGGAGGCCCCGATCGTGAACGCCGCCGGCCGGTGGAGCACCACCTCCGCGAGGAGCGGCGGCGCCAGCAGTGGAATGCAGAGGGCTTGGCCGCGTCGCAGCGCGGGGAGCCTACGCGGCCGCCGTCGCCTCCCCCCGGCAGTCAGCGGGTGTGAGTCCTGGTGTTGTTCGCGGTGCGCGTGTTGCGTGCTCGCTCTTGCCGCCATCGCGTTCGACTCGACCAGGGCGTTCGGCGGCTTCATGCTGCGAGTAGGGCGCCGCCCTTCCCGACGGCGTGAGGCTCCAGGAGCCCGCCCGAGGGGCGCGGGCGTCTCTCGGGAGTCGTAGTCGTTGGAGTCTCCAAGAGTTCCTTCCTCGTAAAACCCCGCCCCCTGTCCAACCACCAGACGTGCCGGACGTTTCGCTTCAGACTTGTGTACTATAACGTTCTACATCTTCCTATCCTGCAGATAAGGAAGCCAAACAATGTCTGCCAGCCAAAATCACAAACAACAAGTTCTGGCACTGTGGACGTGTAGGCCGTGTGATGCACGCGCGCCTCTGAGGCCATCTTTCGAAGAGCACATGCGCATCCTCGGAACACCCCCACAGGCCGCAACGGCCCGCAACGGGCGGCAGTGGGCCGGAACAGGCCTCGTGGCGCCCCCGACGGCGGCAGCGGGAAGCAACTGGCGGGAACGTGGCGGCCGGGACCCGGCGGCAATGAGCTGGAAGGTGGCGGATCCCTGGGACATCCCCACGTGGCGGCAACAAGCGGCAAAGGGGCGGCAACAAGCCAGAACATGGCGAATCCTCGGAACATCCATGAAGCTCCTCAGAAACGCAAGGAAGAACCCCTGACTGCAAACACTGTTTGGGGCTTTACATGTATGTTGGGCAGGTCGTCTTCAAAATGCGACTCTCACCTTGGCGCCGCGCAAGTTCCTTGGTTCTGGAAATTCCAACAACTACACGGGTGCAGGGTCAATCGTTTTCCACACGAAGCTCTCGCCTTCGCGCCGTGCACACCGCGCACACTCTCGCCCTTACGATTTTCCAAACCCTGGTGGGATGGGTGCCCAATGGTATTGAAATGTGGGTGCGGCCTTCGCGACGGCACATTCGATTTGAAAGTAACGCAGGAGAGCACAAGGATGGAGGGCCTGCGGTTGAACTAATGCGGTTATCGCCTTCGAGCCGCGCGCATCTATTTTTGAAATTTCCCAGCGGCTGCATGGATGTGTGCCGGTGAGTTTCCAACATGCGGCTCTCGCACAAGGCTTCCTCACATCGTTTGAAACCAGAACTTCTTTTTGTGGAATAAATGCATGGGTGGTGGGCGGTTCCGTTTGAGAATAGGGCTCTCGCTTGAGTCTTCCGCAGATTTGACAGTGCAACGCTTGCTCGGATGGAGATCCGATCCCTTTCAATATGGGATTCTCGCTTGAGGCAGCATTGATCTATATCATGTTACCTCTTCGCGTGGCTTGCACCTTAGTAGATGGAGGACGGATATTTTACAACACGGGGCCCGTCCTGATTGGCAATCGAGCAAGGTGCTCATCATTCAAGCGGTGCGCTTGTCTTGTAGGGACTTGTTAGGGGGAGACTTGGGACAGCAGGATGTGTTGCATCATTGTTGGTGCATTATGCGTTTCGTTCGGTTATCCCTGTCCTCCTGCTCCTCCTGCTCCTCCTCCTCCTCCTCCTCCTCCTCCTCCTCCTCCTGATACAGTCAAGCTACTTCCAGAAGGAACGCCGGATAGGGAACGAAACCCCGGTGTGGGGCCAGAGCGTCTGGGTGCGCGAAGAGCGCCACGGGAATAGCTGTGGACGGACCAGAGAACCCGTGAGGCCCCCTTCGGCCCCGAGCTGCTCCACGTCTTAGCGCCTCGGTCTTCACGCTCCCGCCTCCCCCCCTGCCCACCTTCCCCCTGCCCCCCCCCCCCCCCTGCTGCTCCTCCCCTCCCACAGCTGCTCCCGCCCCTGCCCCCGACCCCTGTTTCTCAAACTCCCCCTCCCCCTCCACCTCCCCATGCTCCTGCTCCTCGTCCGGAGGAGGAAGAGCAGGAGGAGGAGGAGGAGGACGAGGAGGAGGAGGAGGAGGAGGAGGAGGAGAAGGCCTCTCCAGCTCCCCCACCCCCTGCTGCTCCTTCTCCCTCCCCCCCAGCCCCCAGCCCCGTGCACTTGTGGGCGAGCGGCGGCCATCCTCCGCGGGGTTCTGGAACCTCACGAACAGCTCCTGGATCTGAGGGGACTCCAGCTGCGTGTCCTCTGGCGGGGGGCCAAGAGGAAAAAGCAAGGAGGATGCGGAGGAGGGGGAGGAGGGGATGAAAATGATGATGATGATGCTGATGATGATGGCGATGCTGATGATGGTGATGAAGATGCGGATGATGATGATGATGATTTATGATGAGGATGATGATGATGATGATGATGATGATGTCGATGATGATGATGACGATGATGCTGATGATGACGATGATGCTGACGCTGCTGCTGATGATGATTTTTCCTCGACGTTAGGACCAACATCTGATATAAAAGACATTGCGTACAATGAAATCAGACTTCAAAGATCCGTCGCAGAGAGCCAAGTGTCTCGTGTTGCCCCGCATGGGCCGTGCTGCCAGGGTGCTGCGCAGAGGGGCCTCCTGCGCAGCGCATGCCGAGCAACGTGCAGGTGCTAGCTGAAAAGATGTTCCGCCGCTTCGTCTTCGAAAATTGTATCGAACTCGGGTGGGGCCTCCGCCTCGATTAGCTCCTGTGATGGCACGGCAGGAGGATGGGGTGGAGGCACGACGGGGGAGGGAGGGTACACGACCGTGACCGTGCCGCTGCTGGCAGGGAGGACTTCGCCTCGAGCAAAAATGACACGGCGCTGAGTCGCCTCCTCTCCCCTGCTGCCTGCATCGTGCCATGCAGGCTCATTCTGGCAAAAAGATGGGCTCACTGCTCGAGGGTCTCCAGCCAGTGGCCGACCTCTTCCTCGAGCCAGCCCGCTGGGGCCACGCCTCCGTGGTGGACCGCTTGGCCCTCGGCCTGGTCAAGACTCGGCCCTCCCACGTGGGCGCGCCGATCACCAGCTTCGTCTTGGTGTCGTCGTAGCACTTCTCCAGGCGCACGAAGGAGATGACGTCGAGGAGATCCTCCTTGCTGATCTCGGCCTCCGCCTCGATGTCCTCGGGCTCCGCTCGGAGCAGGTAGTTGCGCATGGCCCCCTTCGTGGATCCGCCCACGTCGCATTTGTGCAATCCCTCCAAGGCCGCGAGTGCGAGGGACGGGGCTGGGGATCCTATCTCCTGCAAGCTTTTCTTGTCCTCTGGGGTGCCGCTCTTCCCGAGGGGGTCCACGGTGTGCGCGTAGCCCTCTAGCTCCTGCGTGATGGCTATGATCACTGGATGCTCGTTGCTCATCGTGTAGGTGTCCGTGTTGATGCTGCTGTTCAGCCTGGTCTTGTGTGTCGTCTGGAGCAGCAGCTTCAGGGTCGACCGTAGCAAGTCCATCAAGTTCTTGTCCTTGCTGCTCCAGGCCTTGGGGTTGTGATTGCCGCGGCGCCCGCGGCGTCCTCCACGGCGAGCTGGGCGTCGGCTGGGCTGGTCGGTATTCCTGTCCTTCTCGCCGTTGTCTTCCTCGTCCACCTCGATGGGCGTGGCTGCTGGCGCGGCTGCTCTCCCTTCCTCGGCTGGTGTTCGTGGTGATCGAGATCGCCTCTGCGGCGGCGGCGGCGGGCCTGGCGGGCGTGGAGCCTTTGTCCCGTTCTGGCCTGCCGCGGCACTGGAGGCGGCGCCAGAGCCCTTCGAGCCCTGGGAGGAGTCCAGCGGGAGTCGCCACGACGCTCTCTGCTTGGGCGTCATCCCCTGGTCCAGGAGGTAGTACAGGAAGAGTAGGCGTAGAGGAAACAGTAGCCGCTCGAGGTGTCCCTTGAGGTGTTGCATGTACTTCTGCTGCTGGGCGCTGTACTGCTCGTAACCGTCGAAGTGGTCGGTGTCTCGCCCTGCTGCGAAGGCCGCTGCCTACGATGTGTTCCGCCGACTGACGGATGGCAGCGCGTGCAGCAGGGACGCCCTCGACGGCAGGCGAGGGGCGGCAGCTGGATGGCGCGGGGCGCGGCGGGTGAGCGCTCGGAGTGGCTGAGCGCGTGGTAAGCCTTCTGGCGACAGGCTTGAGCATGGAACCCGATGGCGACGGTGGTACATGTCCTAGGACGTGAACTCGGAGTTTTTGCTGATCATGATATTCATGTTGGCATGCATGGTCCAAAGCGTAACCCGTAAAGCACATGTAGTACATGTGGCTGGGGCCCAGGGGTATACATGATGCGTAAGTTCTGGAATGCATCTGCCTGCTTGCCATGCTCGTCGTAAATGTCTAACTGCGTGATCTTGATCTGGGAATGTAGTTTGGCACACAATACATGTGTTGTCGATCTGTAGCGTAGTCAATACCGCTGGCATGCCATGTCCTAGGCTCTTAGATTTGGTTTGATGTGTGGCGAGCTGTTTGAGCGTCCCGAACCGTTTCTGGCACGACTCGATGTTGCACACGAAGGGGCGGTTCGTCTCTTCATCGGCGTCCGTCTCGTCGCATGCTGACGCCGGGGGGAGAGAGGAGGTGATCACGCTGGCCTCGGGGGGAGCCCACTGAGTCGCCCAATAGGAAGCCCTGAGAGCCCGAACGTCGCAGCTAAGAAAGGCCTCTCGAACCCACTCGTCGTCCCATAGGTTTTCTACAACTCGAGGTTGCCACGCTTCCTGAAAGCTCTCGCCGATCGTGTGAGACGACAGGCACATCAAATCGTCCGCGAGCTGTGTGGCCCACGGGTGCACGTTCGGGTCTGCGGAGATCTCACCCTGCGAATTGAGGGTGCCAGCGCTGACGGGGCGGTCGCTTATGGCCGCCTGCTGCTCGAACTTGCACCTTCCCCAAAAAAAAAGCCGCGAGAAAGTGGCCATGATGAGCGTGCGATCGGATGATGCTCTGCCACCAACTGAGCCCGCGCACGAGTAGTTCGATGGCAGCCGGTGCAACTTGCCATTCAAGAAAAACTTGACGGGTGGACAGGGATCGATGATTGTTGTTATCATCCTCCTTGTGTGCCGTTCCTCTCATCATTGATCGTAGTTTACAGGCCAGCGAACTGTCGAGTCTGTGGAGCTCTCTGGAGGTCATCACATAGCTTTCGAGGCCCGACCAAACCCTCCCAGCGACATTGGACACGAACGCGAGCCGTTTAGCCTTCCAAGGTCCTCCAGAAAACCAGTAGTTGCCCAGACGGCACCACTCAGCCTTTCCTGATTGTATGCGGGCCTCGACTTCACGACGATTATTGTTAGCGGCATGTACATATCCTCCGAGATGAATCAAGTCCTGGACAGCATTCCCAGAAATGTTCCGTTCGGCCTCCTTCGCAGCCCCATGGGTGCCCAGTGAAACCAGGGTGTCCTGCTCACTGATGTTCTGTGCGTAGCCGCCAGCCTCGAGGGCCTGGGAGAGCGTGTCGTTGTCGATCTTATCAATCTGCAGCGCCTGGAGGGACGTGCCATCTGGCACCAAGAGGATCTTGGCTAGATCGTCAATGAAAGCTCCAAGATGCGCATCGTGCTCTTCACCAGTGAAAGGACAATGTACCTGAAACGGGTTCCCCTGGACCTGGGCCATCTCCTGGGACCACTGCATAACTAATGGATAAAATGATTCCATGAAAAGTTCAGGCTCGTTTGAGTCGCCCATCCTCCCTCCTGTCCCTGGTCGAAGAGCTATGCTGGCATCAGACGCCTGGAGAAATACTACAGCATCATGTCGATGCTGCTCAAGGAGGGGATGAACATGCTCGTCTTCGCATCGAGGTGTGTGAGCTGCGACCAGTCGCTCGTGGGAGCCTGTCGCGAATGCGTTCCGCATGTCGTGCGACTTACGAAGAAAAGACATTCTGGCTGATCTCATCTTCCATATCAAAAGCATAGCAATAAGCATGAGCGGCTCGCGGCGACGGGAATGAATACCTCCGTAAGCCCACGGCGGTGGGTCGAATTGGGTTCCATACTGAATGGGTCCTATCCTAAGATACAATCGCCAAAAGTGGTCGAAACAATGAAGTAAACGCACGCATGCATGAATGTCCTGAATCACGTTGCCAGTGGGGCTTTTCCCTTTTTTGCCGATGGCGACCGCCTGGCAAGTGAAAGCCTGGGCGGGTAGAGATCCACGTCGATGGACGTGGGCAAGTAGTGTGACAAAAGTCTGGATGATGGTGGAGCTGACGTCGTGGTCGATCACGAGCTTCCGTCGACTGGGTTGGTAGACTCGCTCGGCGAGCGGGTCCGCGTACTGATAGTCTGCAGTGTCATGTCCCATCCCTGCCCTTTGAACGCCAGGGCGCGTCAAATACTGCGGGTCGAGGAGCATGATGGTGAGTTCGATGGGCCACGCCCAAAGTGGATTGTAGCGCCTCCGTTTATCCCTCCACAGTCGTTTCTGCAGATGGTCGAGCTCCTCTGCTGCTGTCTCGATGTCATGGAGCTCAGGGGCGCCTATGTGCTCCCCCACGGGTTGAATGTCGTTCGATTGGGCCAATAATCGTGGGATAGATGTCGGGTCGCCGATATACATACTGACGTAGGCAGGCGTGGCCGAAAGTCCCCCTTGAACGGCTGGTCGAGTAAGGGCGTCTGTGTATTCGGCTGCGGTGGGGCGCGTGGATGGTAGTGCAAGGTATGAACTTCGTCGTGGTCCCGTCCGTCGTCCTGCTCGGATGCACGTGAGGTGTGCGACCCGGGAAAGGTCGCGAGTAGCCCACGCGTCGCGGATGTCCTGGTCAAGACTGACTTTCCACCAGTGGTCCATCCAACGCTGGTGTGCTCGTAGTCGTCGTTGGATCTCGCGCAAGGTCACATGGTTGAAGGGTAATCGTCGAGCCCGGTAGTCGGCGCGTTATTTAAGCAAGCGGAGGCGTTCAAGTCGAGCTTGTTGGTACCGTTGTGGCTGTCCCCCTCCTTCCTTTGTATAATACTTGCGGCCGCATTCACGAATGATATGGGCGATGAGAGCGTTGTGGCGGGTCGGAAACGGATCCATCTTGATAACTCGGATGACCTCCCTGCGTTTGCTGATCTCGGCGTAGACGTCATTGAGGAAAGCGGCGCGGCGCGCGCCCGTCTGGAGCCCAGCAGCAAGGAGGCCGAAGTCCCAGCGGATGTTGTTGTTCTTGATGTTGGCACCGCTGACAGGCATCTTGATCTGCATGATCATGGGGACGTGATCGGCAACGT